TTAATTCATTTAGAAGTAACGCCTATATTAAAATCAATAGTTCCACAGATAAAAGGTTGTTTTTTCAGAACTATGAAATAATTATGTATAGTTTTAATAGATAAATAAAAATAAACTTTACCATATCCCATAGTTGTTGCACGCGAGACCGATATGTCCTGGATTCGAATCTTGAGAGGTGGAGTCGTGGGTGTGTACTGTCAAAGAGTTCCAGAATAAGACAAAATGATCGTCTAGTTCTTCCAGATTTTCTATGATTGTCTAGCTTCAATTGACTCATGATCTCAACTATATCCATAAAAACCTCTTCTGATATTCATCATTCTTTTAATAAATACATTCTATTTAGGTGTCAAATTGAATTTAATCAACAAACGTAATATAGAATAATAGTAAATTCACTATTGAATTAAACAAAAAGCGAAATTTCTCTGTTGTTTTTTTAAAAAAAATGTTGATTACATTCATTATTATCATTATTATCATCATCAATAGAATGATATGAATTTTTCAAAAGAGAAAACAAAACCGACTAATCAATAAATAACACACATGGTAACTATTGAAAAGAAAAATCAATGAAAAATTTGTTATGAATATTTTACATAATAAAATATTATTCAGACACTGTCTATTATTGTCTAGTTAAAAGTTAAGAACTATTATTTATGTAAAAAAGAAAGATGTTACTTATTTCAATATTTTAGTGAATCCATGTAAAATGAATGAAAACAAAATGTGTAATAATTTAAATTCATGTTTTTTTTTTAAAAAATAGTCAAATGAAAAAATATGTAATGAACTACATAGACTACTTACAAGTATTTTTTTATCCAACTCTGTCTTAAAAAATCCTTTCCAGTTATTTCTAGTTGTTATTCATTCTTTTAATGTTTGCTTACAATTCTCGATGAAATATGTTCCTTGGTCTTCTTCTCTTTCATTTTCCTTCAGGATTCCAAGTTAGCACCTGCCTCGTGATACAGTTTGCTAACTTCCTTAATGTATTTCCTATCCACCTCAAGCATCTTTTCTTAATTTTCTCTTCATATGGAAGCCAGTTTGTTTTCTCTCACAGTAGGTTGTTGTTGTTATTGGTATATGGTCAACGGACATTAAGTATCTTCTGTAGACAATTGTTTACAAAAACTTTTACATTTTTGATGATGGTTGTAGTAGTTCTAGGAGTTTCAGCTCCGTTTAGTAGAACTGTCTTGACGTTCGTGTTCAAGATTGTGACTTTGATGTTGGTTGACAGTTGCTTCGAGTTCCATATGTTGTTCAATTGTAGGAATGCGGCTCTTTCTTTACCAATCCTTATCTTTACGTGTGCATCAGATCCTCCGTGTTTATCGATAATGCTCCCTAGTTAAGTGACAGTATCTTCCTGTTCCAGAGTTTCTTCGTCGAATTTGACTTGGTTGGTATTCTTCGTGGTGTATCTGAGGATCTTGTCTTTTCCTTTGTGTATTTTGAGGTCTACTGATGCAGAGGCTCCTACTACACACTACTTTTGTGTGAACTACAGGGATTAGATTATAATAAATCAGTAGACTAGTAAAAAGAATACTGTCGTTTTTTTCATTTCTCAACTAAAAATAAATAGGTAGATATGACAAGACAGTTTATGAAACAATAAAAGCGATGTATCAACATTAATTGGCTACTTATTAGTAACCAATATCATAGTGTCAGATTCTTAGTCCTGATCGAATTCAGCGTTGGATTGTTCAAGTGATTCCAAATTGTGTTGGTAATTACCTGGTAATAAGTGATTTAAGTTGACTAACAGAATCCAATGGAACTAAGTTTTATGGTAGGTTAATACTTATTAGCAAGGGACTGATGCCTCACATTATATTCTGAATCGTGTCACGGTTAAAGAGCTTAATACTGAGTTATTCGGGTTACTTTCGGCTTCCTGCAAGACAAATGTATTTACTCTATTTTATCACGTATGATTAACTGTTATGTTCTTCTGGTCCTCAATGCTAATCGACTTTTATTAATCTCGTTGCCATTTATCCACTAGTCTATTTTGCTGACCATCATGGAACATTCTCTAATGTGAGATAGCTGAAGCTAGTAGGCATAAATACTTAGAATTAAGATTCATACTAGTTGATATTCGATTTTTTCAGCATAATGATAATGATGAGATGATATTAAAAATTTAAATTCAATATTTCTTCTATGGGTCTTTTGGTGAATACATTATCATACATCTCATTATTACTTTTGAGATTCACACTCATGACAAATTTCTGTTCACAAAAAATCAAAATGTTATCCTCATAACCAAACATCAATGGTAGTTACTACTTGTTCATATAAATTTCTTGTGATTTAAGAAGTCTATGTAACTTGGACCATAATTATTATGAATGGAATAAACATTGCTCATCTACATAAGCTTGGGAGGTGGTGTAAATCCAATGTGATTAAATAACAGTTTCGTCATTGATTTGAACTACTTAGAACGTGTTACTTGAACAAAATCTATCTAACTACTAATTTTCTGTCATTTATACAAAACAAGAATTGAGAGATTGGAGAAGCGAAATAAGTATTATTGGTTGAGTAGTAAAACACGTTAAGTAATAACCTTCACGGAGACGCTCAAGTTAAGGCGACAGAACCAAAGTAAATGATTTCAATTCACAGATTATTTGAAACCTTATAAAAATAAAGACAACACGTTTTGATTGCCTCTTTCTAAATAAATGGATCATGAATGTAGCTGGAACTGTTTATGTACAAATATTCATCTCAAGGCGAATCTCTAATCAATTTTAAGTGAGGCTGATGAGAAGTTTTCTTATTCTGGTATTTTTCTTCACTAACGCATTACTTTCTAAACAAACATTTTCATCACCGATATTATATCACGCTCTATTGTGATAATTTCTCATTCAGTTTGGATGTCAGACTATTGTACGTTGATACCGTTGTTATTGCGATCATCACTTTACATTTTTCATTTATGTATCTAGTGAGTTTCTTTTAACCCATAGTCTACATCATTTGCTCTTTCATCTAATAATATTAAAAGAACTTGGTTTTATTAATACGGGCAAAAATTATCTTACGTGGTTAGAAATAGTCGACAAGAAACCCTGGATCTAGGTTCTGTGCTAGTTGGTACTGGTCAGAAAGGCACACTTCAAATCTTAAGGGAAAAGAGGCTCCCTTTAGGTACCAAAGTGACCTCCTGTAAGACTAAGATGTCCACGGCTGACTAAGCACTGAGTAGTGACCAATTTTATGTTTGCCTAGAATTTTGATGCTGTACGAACTCTGCCTATCATGAGCTTAACTCTCCCTATAATAGACAAACCTCTATGAATCACGACTATTATTCTTAGGACTTCTATCATATATATAAGACTTCCAACATTCTGAGCCTATATAGTACTCTTTAAATTCAGTTTCTAATTTCACCTTAATAACTCTTCTATCTGTCTATAATTGCGATATAAGTTGATAATATTTTTTGAAATCTTACGCTTAATAATATAATTAGAATTAATCTTATTTGTTTGTTTTTGCAAAGGACCTTATCTACAAAATCCAAATACTAACTTGTGTAATGTGTCCGAACTTCACTCGAACGTGCTTGCATGTTCCCACTGATGCTATTAAGGACTGCAATGTAGTAATCTCTGCTGTCACATATATATCTGGAATGGATTACTCTGGTATGGTCGTTTAGTCACAAATATTTACCAGGCTTAGGTAGGGTAGTGATCATCTGGACTCTGGAGTTCAATCGATAATTTATTGGCGTGGGAAAAAAAGGTAGCGGTTTCGAGTTTCAGTATGGACTTCAACACAGATGTTTTTTTACCCATCTAATGAGCCGAAAATAGAATGAACACATATTGCATCCCTTTGCTGGACACTACAACCTTAATGAAGACTTTCAAATCAATGAAATTATCGAGTTACTTCTGTCAAGATACTTACATACCAGTAGAGACTGATCATTTGCAATCCTTGGAATCGACAACGGGAAACTAATACATTTCATCTCATCATAGTACACTAACAATGGGCACTGTATTTTTTAAAATCAAAGTTGAGATCCATAGCACAAATCATGAGTATTTGATAAAATAGTTAATTTAATATTAATTAGGTATAAAAATATAATGACTTGTATAAGCAATCCTGATTGTGACACAGAATATGATATTATACATGCATATACGTAAAGAGATGGCAGTTGATAGTGTTGAATATTCCAAAAACTAACGTGCATATATTCCTAGTTTTATGTTGATCTTCACTAGCCGACGAGACTTAAAAAAATGACTGGATATAGAAATTATCGAACATGCTTATATGTTTTCAATGTCATGAAAACCAAACGGTGACGTATGTACGAACGTTAACTCCCCGCTGCCTAGCTTTAGCTGTAAACTTCAGAAGTTCTACGAAAGTCTAATTTTTCCTAAATTTACTATTCATCAGGTCAACTTTTGTTTATTCGACCCATGTTCTGTTACATATTTGTAAAACGAACACAAACACAGTTGTCTGAATTTATTGATTAGATTTAAATACTAACTATTTTCTGTAATTCACATAACCGCTGTCTACAATAATGATCCAGTTGATACTTAACTACCTAGTGATCAGTTTACTTAAAACTAAAAAAACATATTCTTAGTTCACCATATTTATCTTTAACAATGTATTCGCATTCACTATTTTCCTAGGCATATCTTAACTGGCACAGACATTTATCTCGTACAGTTGACCTGTTTTGTTACGATATGTAACTTTCTAATAACATAATAGTAGCTAATGACCTGACTTTTTGCAATATCACGAAGTTACATCTTATTGATTTAACTGTGAAAATCATTATATTCCAGTACATAGGCATTTTCTGTAAATAAATCTATCCATAACAAATTCGATCAATTGAATAGTGAATATTTATTGAGAGAACATAACATATCTTTCTTTTTTGTTCAAATATATGGTATATCTAGAGCCTGTACAAACTTTCTATCCAACAGAAGATTTAGTCGAAGCAGCACGTTATCTTAACATCATGGCCGGAACACAAGAACTTGATCGTTTATTGGAAGAATTACGCTTAACAAGTATGAATATGGCCGCCGGTCTTCCTCCTCCATCTAATACTCATTATAATTCCAAACCATATTATTCTTCACAAACATCACGAAAACAATTGTTTCATGATGAAGTTTATCCAGATCATCGATATGCTCCGAGTAGTAGGTCTGCTTCGGTCACTGGTTACAATACTGACGCACATAATTTTAATGATTCTTTACACTCAAATTATCACAAACATTCAACCTTTTATTCAGATCGAATAGATAATATTGGAAAAAGTACCAGTAAATTTAATTCCTCTTTTTCAACACCTCCGCGACATCAGTCGGTATTTACGACAACACTGAAACAACGTCCACCTGTTGCTCCTCGAAAATTCAATCAAATTCATTTAACTATTGATCCTGACTGTGGAACCACAGACGTAAGTATAAAAATCAGCCTTTTCACGTAACCATTTTGATGTTTTCTCGGACAAATATTATTTTAGACTTATATGAATATTGTCACACTAACTTGTACAGAAGTAAAACATGTAGTAACAAAGTAGTTGATTAAGAAGGCGTTGTCAATCAAATACATAATGCATAATTATCGAAAACGTGCTTCACATGAATAGTTGATAATCTGTGCCATGGAATTACTGCTCATTATTCGTTCAGTAAAACAAAACAAAATCTGCTTCAAAATAGAAAAATGCATTTGCTACCATTCCAATCATACGATCCTTCATAACAAAATAGTACTAACTAATCAGAAAAGCATGTCTGTAGGATTTTAACTTCCATCACCCAGCATCGCAGTCCCAGATATTATCTCTGAGCTACCCAGCCCAAAACTAAACTATAGGACTGAGATATGTACACCAGTTGTTCTCTGAGCAGTAAGCAATGTTCCCCTATCTCTAAGTATTGATTGGATCTTGTTGACTAGACTGCAATATTCCTACCCATACATAAAATATTGTTTAAACTTATATGTAGTCAATCCACTAGTTTAGATGTGTAAATAAAGATTAACCGGTTACTCTGAAAAAATCACATAAGGGAGAGGTAGATTTCATTAAAATAGAGGATATGTACTGCTGAGTAGTCTCATATTAGGACAATATAACCATTTGATTTTCAATAGTTTTCAATAGTACTCTAACTAAGCCCAATCTATGAAAGATATCAGCCACAAATAAGTTAGTCTTTGATATAAGACCAATCTTTGATGAGCCTATTATGTGATGGTTACACAGTTTTATCTCTTCATCCTGGCGGAACAAGGACTCAGAAAAAATACCAGGAAAACCTAGGAGATATTTGAGAATGAAAATGTGTACAAATTGATGGACAATAATCCAGTCAAAAAGCTGAACAATCAGGTTTCTAGAATTTTAAAAAAAATTTATCAGTGCAGGAAAAATATATAAACAAGATCAATGATGGTAAGCCAAATCTACATAAAACAAATGTCCCACTACTCTCAATTGTATCACTCCCTGGAACCATAATGTAAAATTTATCAATAGAAAATTCAAGAATATTTAGACATTTGTTGGATTCTCATTGGATCATTCCGTTAAATCATCCATACAATCTTTGGATAAGATTTTCAAAGTTAAAATCAGCAACGATGAACTGATAATATCATTTTATGCTACAGCCATACTCAGGTCAATCTAACTAGAGTTAACAAAAGACACTTTACCCTGCTCCTCCTCACTGACATAAATGTCATAACGTACACAGAGCTTTTAAGTTATAGTTTATTAGAATTCATCGACGTATGTCTAACATATTTTCAATTTAACATTAAAATTTACGAACAGAACGCCAATAGGATCACCGATGTCAGGATTTATTGCTGAAGCATAAATGTCGAGGGTTAAGCCTCGATTTTAACAATGATCAAGCCAAAAATGTTTATTCATTTTATCGAAGTCATATTGATTATCATTAAAAAAGGGATACTTGTAATTTTCTTAACAACGTCTTCGAGGATATAAAGTTCACAATGAAAATGGTGTCGAATAACAAACTATCCTTCTAAGATGTGTTGGTCATTACATTCTATTTTGTATTTATTCTTCTTCACTTCTAGTTAGTATATTCAAATAAATGAAACAACATAAATTTATTTTGTGATGTAATAGATTGTTCTTGATAAGAGACAATTAGAAGATCATGACACAAGTCACAACAAAGAAGTTCAATAGTGATCCGAATCTCTTAGTGTTATCGCCTCTGTGAATTCAAGTAATACATTTTCGAGGTGTATATATGAAACATCAGTACCCTGGTGATTACAGGCGAACACCAATTAGCACTAAACCTAGATCCAATAAGGTTCCCTAGCCATTGTATCCAACTACCTGACATCAAAATATTGTGTAGCCGATGGTAATTCGATTACACTGGTAGTCATACTGTAACCTGGTCGAAAGAATTCCGTCACCATTAAGGAATAAACAAATATCATGGTACTTACCATACAGTAATCACTGAGTGTAAAGATCAAGTACCTTATGTTGCATTTAAACATCATCGCACATGTATAAGGTCCTTAAGTTCCGGTAGTAATAATCATAGAGTTGAGATTCCGATTCATAGTTGTTACTGTAGTCATCATAAAGAAGCACAAAAGAATTGATTGATAACAATGAAACCAAAGCATACAAAGAATGACGGAATACACAAGCAAAATGCTCATTTTATGGTCATAGAATATAACTAACAGAAATAACATATATTCATTAATAGTATTATTATTGTATTTCGTTATGCAGGCAACTAATGTGGCTACACATACCCATGCAGATGCACATATTCATATGTGCATTTGCATAAAAACACAGACTTTCTTATAAATCTGAATGATATTAAACTACACCAAAATATTGATTCGAATGAATCACCTCTGTTTTTATTTTGCCTTATAAATTGTGAATTTCTTTTTCATAAAATACTTCAAATGGAACGGATGTTTTAGGGTTTGTAACCGTAACAACGGATGACATTCATTGTGATCCCCTCCTTCCTTGTTTTGAACGATGCATTGATAATTCTGAGTTGACGAGTTTCTCATCCTATAAGTGCTTCTGATGCTTCTTTGGACAGCATCAGAAAAACTCCCTGAGTGTGTGAAGCAGTTTCTTCTTTATGATCAGGTTACAACAGCACCTTTCCTAAAGGTAATCTTTTCCATCCAGCTTGCGCCTATTGGATTTCATGTATACTGAGCACGGCCATGTTTTATCTCCTCATTTCCGTTGCTGTATAATTCGTTAATAATGACTATATCATAAAATACTAAAGCGAAAACCTATTCATTTAAAGTGAAAACACTAAATAATTATGTATTTAATGAATCATCATTGTAATATTTCTTTCATGCAATCAAAATCTCCCCCTAACCATAGTTATTTCTATCGATATTTACACTTGTCCTAACACAGACACCTCATATTTTATACATAACTGGTAAGTTAAGAGATTGTACAATTTGAAATGAACTTGTGAATCACTTTTCTTTAGACAGATACACACATAGATAAGATATTTACCTGAAGAAATTTGGTTTAAGATTGATTTATTCATTGGTTTAGAAGTCGTAAAATAAATTCGAATCAACTGGAATCAAGGATTAATATACAGATACTATTTTTGTTATTTTGGTAAAAGGAATGTTTTTTTCACGTTAGCCAAAAACAGCCTCAGGAAATTTGACTGACTTCTCAGCTTCGCAACCAACATATTAAAATTAACCAAAATTCAAAAGGAAAACTTTTCTGACAGAAATTACACACTAAAATGATTGGATGGATTTGATTATTTTCCTATTAAACCAAACTAATCATATGAAATGAACACATACTTGTTACAAAACACTTTGTTTCTTTTATACTATCCACTGTATATTGGTTCTATCTAGTCTCATCCCTCTAATCCCGTAAATTATCACTATGTGGACTTTACCTTTTTAAGCACTACATCCTCATTATGACAAAGTTAGGAGCAAAACGTCTTAACCGGTGTTTATTACATCACTGACAGAAAATTAAATACCTATATGTAACTTGATGTGGTACTTCGTTGACGTAGAAAATTACGTATTCATAGAAAAACAGCTATCTTTTAAATTTGACATTTTAATTAGAACTACTTGTAAGTAGTGTATTATATCTTAGAGCAATTTCCCTTAGCATATTCATATTCCATTTATATATCCATTAACACTCAGGTTTAAAACAAAAGAAATTGAAATTTTTCATTTGGTATTTTCGGAATTATCAATATAAAGATTTTCTCACTTGAAGTAAGTTTTCATCAATTCGAAACTCATATCTTAGTTATAAGTAAAGATGGTTGGTGGCTAGCAGCAGAATCCAGGACGTGCGTCTCGTCCTATTCGGGACTCGGCAGCTGGATGTACCGGCATCCCAGAGTTGATGTTCACTTCGAGACTCGAACCCGGTATCTTAGTTTATATGGTTCCTGTCTTTTTTATGTGAAGTGTATATCCGATACTAACATTTCCTACATAAAACTATGGTAAGCAGTTATTAAGTAGATAGGTTTTTAATTTCCCGTGCATTAGAATTCAGTTGTTCAGATTTTTAAGTTCAGTCCATTCGGATTGAAGTACAACAAAAGTTCAATAAGAACGATGATAAATATTTCTACCCCATCATTGTAGAAATTCATCAGTCACAATTTCAGTTATTTACTACTAAATACAATGGTATTATTTTCTCAGCTGATTTTTGGAAATCTTTCTTTTCATCACAGCTGCAGATACACTAAAAGACTAAAAGTCATTCGATTGCTTTCATGACCCTTTTATGATGCAGGCTGAAAAATTCCGTTTACACCACTATCCTAATAGCATCGAGGAACTTAGTCAAAGTTGATCGGCTCGAGTTCCTATTTTAGCGTATTAACAATAAAACCTTATCTTTAATCAACACTTTCAGTTTTTTGTTGCCCCATTTCCAATTTTGTTGACTGTATATATCAAACCTTGCCTTATAACTTAACAATGATAATAAGGTAGAAACCAGAAATGAATATACAATTTACCTTCTCGAATGTTCAATAGTGTTTAGAATCACTCTAAGTAAAAATAACAATCAATATTAAATTTATTACATAACCATATATCAAAAGTAAACTTTCATTCACCTCTTCGAAATTTAATTCACGTATTTATACTTTTAACTCTTTTTCAACTTTATTATTTGTTTAAGGCACAATCCGCTGTTTCAGTTCGTCTTGAAAATAGTCATGACTCTTTTAGACGTGAAAAAAAACTTGAAAATGATTTACAAACAGCAAGAGAAGAATTAGCTAATCTTAGACGTGCAATGAGTTTAGTTGATGAAAGACATCAACGTATTGAAAATATAAATGATTCTAGAAATCTAATTTCACCAAGTCATTCAGTACCAAGACGATCACCAAATATGGAAACACAACAATATTTAAGTACAAGTTCGTCATTTCAACGATCTTATCAAGTACAACAGCACAGTACTCCAGGAAGGTATGTTTAATCTTTTAAGCACCGTTTTCTTTCTCATACATTATAGTGTTGAAACTTTCGTTATTACTCCTTTATTGTATTTTTCATTAAATAAATAGTAGACAAGAATCATTTATTTCAGTCATTTTTTTATCGTAACTTTAGACATAAACATGATATGGTTATCATCACTTCTTAAATAAACTGTCATTTAACATTCTTTCATTGAAATGATATATACATACATATATACCGTTGAAATTTCATTTGAATACTGAACAACTACCCATGGTGAAAATACCATCAAACATTTATCTTTTTTTTGATGACCAATAGCTTTAATGTTTTTGAATGTATCATTGCTTTGAATCTCATTTTATGCCTAACTGAAAGTGTATATAATTGATTTGACAATGAAAATAGATTGATAGATAGTGTATTGCGAAAATAAATATTATAACCGTGATAAAGACCGACCAGTTGAGATCTGTTAATTTTCAGTAAGTTACGCTGTCATGTTTTGCTAACTCAATAATTTATAATTAACCTAAGGAAATTCATATTCATTCATTCATAAGACAGGATTATTTCTCAGTTGACAAAAAAAGCCTTAGTTTCACAAGTTATACAGATTAGTTTACTTTTGGAATACATCTTGTCACGAAATGACTTCAGTTGACGAACTGTTGTAAACTTGTGAGCATTAGATAACTATTTGATTCTAGTTCGAAAGTCTAAGAATTAATAAAAAATTTGAGTGGATATCCGTTTTGTTTTAAAATAAATTAATAAAAAGCTTACTTGCGTACTTACGCTTGTTACTCCCGATGGAGCATAGGCCAACAACCACCATTCTCCAACCCACTCTGTCCTGGACCTTCCTTTCCAGTTCTATACAATCGTTGTTCATTCTTCTCATGTCTGTTTTCATTTCTCAAAGTAATGTGTTCTTTGGTCTTCATCTTCTCCTTTGGCCTTGAGGATTTCATGTGCGGGCTTGTCTTGTGAATTAGTTCGGTGCTTTCCTCAATGTGTGTCCTATCCACTTCTAACGCTTCTTCCTGAATTCTTCCTCCATTGTGATCTGGTTTGTTCTCTCCCATAGTAGGTTGTTGCTAATAGTGTCTGGCCAACGGATCCTAAGTATTTTGTGTAGACAACTGTTAATAAACACTTGTAACATCTGGATGATGGCTTTCGTAGTTCTCCAGGTTTCCACCGCATACAATAGAACTGTGTTGACATTTGTATTGATAATCCTGACCTTGGTGTTGGTTGACAGTTGCTTTGAGTTCCAGATGTTCTTCAGTTGTAAATATGCTGCTCTTGCTTTGCCGATCCGCACATTCACATATGCATCAGATCCACTGTGTTCATCGATGATGCTGCCCAGATATGTAAAGGTTTTTACATCTCCCAAATCGTCTCCGTCAATTGTGATTGGATTGGTGCATGCTGTGTTGTATCGGAGAATCTTGCTTTTCCCTTTGTGTATATTGAGACCTACTGCTGCTGAGACTGCTGCTACACTGGTCGTTTTCACCTGCATTTGTTGTTGCAATTGCGATAGAAGAACCATATCATCTGCGAAGTCTAGATCGTCCAACTGCATCCTAGATGTCCACTGTATCCCGTGTTTCCCTTCAGATGTTGGAGTCTTCATGATCCAGTCGATCACCAGGAGAAAGAGGAAGAGTGAGAGTAAGCAACCTTGTCTGACACCGGTCTTTACTTTGAACGAGTCTGTGAGCTGTCCTCCATGCATGGTTTTGCAGTTTAATCTATCATAGGAATTCTGTATGATATTGACTATTGTCTCAGGCACGCAATAAAGGGCTAGCTTCAATTATTTATTAAAGCAAATATTTGTTTATCACAGATTCGGACCTTGGTTAAGTTGTATTCATTTTTTCCTACTACTGCACTCCACTACAAGTTCTGTATATTAGCTTTCTTAAATTCCACACTTGTTACTCTGTATAGAAATGATCATTTCTATTTTAATTCTGCTTTAAATTTCCTTCAATCTTTATAGACGATAGAATTAATTTTCAATGAATTGTAAATTTTGTGGAGAGAAAAGTCACAAACAGCAAATACTACAAACTATACAGAATTATCAGTTTAGGGGTTGTGGAGATTGTTACGTTTTTGATTGAGATCATGAACCGATTGATGTTAGACCACCATTGAAAACCTGGAAGTACTGGAAGGCCGTTTCGTCTTATTGCGGTACTCCTCAGCAGTGCGCATCCACGATCCCGCCCGCGGGATTCGGACCCAGGGCCTTCAGTCTCGCGCGCTAACTCCTAATCTACTGGAGCACTGAGCCGGCATCCAAATAAATTTGCATTGGTGTAATAGTAGTTAATAGATCAACATGAATAAATCATAAGCTGATAGGTTAGCTCTATGTCCGATTGATGGCAAATAATAATTCATCGATATTTTATTATAGCAAAATATGTATATACTTTATAGCCAAAAGTACCAGATATCGTGTATGCACTTGACAAATTCATAAAATATGAGGTGCTAATGAAAAGATAAATAAATGTTAATGCTAAAGGGATATCAATGAATTCATATTTTCTAAGAGAAGAAAAACAATATAAACGTTTAATGACTCCCATTGAATTTGCACAAAGTTTGAAGGGGTTGATCCCATGACGAACAGTGATGATATTGAATGATATAATAAATAATTATTGATTAAGAAGTCAAACAGATGGGAAACATCATTAAGGAATGTGGAAAGAACCACCTTATACAATGTTCAATAAAAGTGCTTTAGTTTTCATTTTCGAGAATTTCTCCATTCCTTTGGTGTGCCTGTATTCAATATTCAGTTTTGACCTGAAACCTCATTTAAATCGTCTAAAGCTACCTACAAATGTCTTTTGTGAACATGCTAACATAGCGCTTCTGGATGTAAAAACATATAAAGTGAGAGTTGAAGATTATGACAAAATACCCACTGAAAATTCTGCTCTTATACGCATCATTCACTCACCAAAAGAATGAAACTTTGCTAAATGATCCACACATTTCAAACACGCAAAAGCAGATGAGCTGCAAATTCATGGACACGTATCTTATCCCATCAAGGAAATAATAGTAATAACATTACTAATGATAGATCAAGATCAAGTTGAAGACAAAAATGATTTATAGTTCTTTTAAAGATAGAATTCAGATTCTATTTCAAGCATAATCAAACGTACTAATGTTCTTCGTTAGAAATTATGAAATATAGGTAAATGTGTTATGACCTTGGATGTCTGGTTTTTCTATCACGCGATTTATCTACCAATCCGAATACGACTTATACGAATCTTCACACTAGGCCAACCAATGACGTTCAACCGGTGTGGGCAGTTTAGCGTCCTTATTGGTCCTATGTCCTACGAGCCCTCCCACTTGAGTCCAGAACAAGATACCAGCTTCCGAATCAGAGCAGATCGTTTATTTCAGGCATACTTGGTTTATATATCAATCATACAGACCGCAACGTACCATAAAATAGGAAATAATATTTGTACACAAATAAGCCCAAAAAGTGGCTGTGAATGTGGGAGGCAGTAGTTAATAAACTGAGCATAACTTAAGAACCGTAAATCGTACAATAATAAATTATAGGCCAAAATAAAGCTTGTCATAAGAGGGATACAAATATACATAATGTAATTGTTGAATAGTTATACAACAAGAATATTTATAGGATATTAGTCCATGAATAGTCCTCGGAAGTTACCTGTAATTTAATCTCCACTCGGATATAACAAAATGCAAATAAAGTTTGTAAACGACTTTTAAAAGAAGAGTTAACTTAGTATTAGCAGTCAACTAAATGCTTGGTGGTCGAATGTTTTCTCTTTCATATCATCAGACATAAGCTAGATTGTATTCTCGCATGCGCAATGAAGACAACTGCTAACTTCAGTTAATGTACCTTGGCTCACAGGAATTGATGAATAGATTGATGCATATGTGAGTAAACTTACTTTTCACACATACAGAAACAGTTTCCAACTGACAAAATAAAACTTATTTCAGAAAGAATTCCAACGCCAATCATCAGTAAAACAAACTTTATTGACCACAAGAAGTGAAACCCTTTAACATGCATCAATCTTTAACCTTTTGTCTGATTATTGTAGAATGTTTTCTGAGGACACTTCAGAAACAATCTATTCAACTGAAGTATATGTAGTTGTTTTTGTGTTTCATTATCAGTCAGTCCACAGTATTCAATTGCCTTAGACTGAAAACCATAAAATGATAAACAAACTTAAACAGTTTAATTTTCAAACAAAACACATTACTAAGAAAAGAATATGAAAGTTGTTTTTACACAATTCATCAGTCAATAAACACTAGCACATCAAAAGTCGATCAATACATTCAGTTTATCATGAATTATTTGCTTAATTAATTGATTGAAACTAACAAGTAACTACTCCGATACTACCTATTCAGCCTTTGTAATTCATCATGACTGAAAAGTATGCGGTTTTCTTTCGTGTAAATCAATGTAACAAAAATTTATTACTGTATAGCAATTACGTCATGTGAATTATATATGTATTTAATCATAATTAATATTATGTTTGCTAACTTAAAAATGATAAGTACTTGCATTGTTTCCATCATCGTCAGCATCATTGTCATGATAATCACAAGTAGTGAAAAAAAAGATGATCAATAATGAAAAACATATAGATCGTAGGTTTCATTCTTGCTGAATCTTCATTAATTAGTTGCAACTTATCACTTGCTTTGTCAAATGATCTAAAATTAACATGAAATGAAGATATTAAAAGTGATAAATGGGAAAATAGAAAGGGTGAATGAACAATAAAGTGAAAGTATGACTGAGAATAAGAGGAATATGAAAATAATAAGTTAGAAAATACATGTAACCTAACATGTTAGTCAGTACTTGAACTAGGACAAGTGAATAATTCTCACTACATCTTGCTGTATAATCAATACATATTTCACTTATTTCAACCACTATAAGTACTACTACTACTATAACTACAAGTAATTTTGGCATATTTCCATGCATAAGAATAAAAGTAAGTGGGCTCAAGTGATTATCATGTCATAGACTCGCTCTCCCTCACTATATATATATATATATATATATATATATGTTCTAGTCAGTTCCTCTCACTCTATCGTTTTTATTTATCTGTGGTGTTTGGGGCATTGTTATGCCATAATTTCCATTTCATATCAATTGAAAAATGCATCATACACAATGTTTGGTCAGTGTCAATTCATATCAACAAAGAACGTATCCTAGGAAAGAGCCAACATGTGAGTGTGGGTTATTGTATTTAATTTCTATGTATTTTATTTATAATTATAAGTTTATCGAAGATTTAGAGAATTACTGTAAACATATTTACTATGAAGGTATATACGGAACTATTGACAATCTTATCGCTGAAATTAGCTAACTTTTTTTCAAGTTCAATTCATTTAGGTAGAGGTTGATATTGGCATGCAATGAAATTCACGACACACATTTCTCCCTATTTAGGACTCATCAATTGGATGTGCCTGCATCCCAGAGTTGATGTTCACCTCGGAACTCAAACTCAGTACCGTTCGCTTCAAATGCTATCCACTTAACTACTGAGTCCCAATAGCCACTTGACTTGTGAAATGGGGTGAATTTTAGTTTGTATATATATTCAGTTTATTGAGTTTCATTTATAGGATAAAGAAGAATGTTATTATTTTCATTATTTGTTTGCTTCTATATCACTTTGCAAATTGCTTTTATACAATACAAAATCTTATGTTATTCACAAGTACATGGTCAATGAATACTTAGATTTTATTAATTTACCAATCGAGAAAATAATTCATATACGATATATCTCAAAATGACTGAAGATGAAAATAGGAAATATTATATTTCCATTATGCAATGATGATTTATATATCAATGTATAAGTATCTAATAGCCTATGGTAACTGGATTGTACTGTTAAGAAGTATCAAAATCTTCAACGAAAGAAGTATACATTGTTTTCTAACTTTATATGATTCCTTAACGGTGGATATCAATCATATTGACGGGAATTACTCCCTAAGTATACATAAAATTACTCTAACATGCTTGTTTAACTTTTTTTCAATGAAATCATTAATGATAAGTGACACAATCTTTTTTCGACTAGCATAAAAGTACATGAAAGCGTTTTGATTCATAATATAAAATGATGTTCATATTCGGTTTCAATAAAGTCAGAATAACAAATTCGTGTAGTTTACAGTTTGACATTTGTACGAAGTAATCTTTATAGATCAAAACATACGTAGAAAAATATACATCCAAAAGCTAGTAAATGATCTATGATAGTGATTTATTCTTCATCTACGTCCTATCAAGAACCATATTAGACAGAAAACATTCTTTTTTTTCAATTTTTTTTCAATTAATTCGTGGAAATCGCTTAAGTTTAGAACACATTGAACATTCGCACTAATTCCTAGCCTATGTTGCTGAATACGGGTCAAAAATTACAAATAGTATTCATTATGTTCACGTTTGTTTTTACATTGTGAAGAGTTATTAACTCATATTATGATGAAATTAATACTGAGTTCTATTTCAAGATACAATAAATTATCGTATAACTGATTTCTACAAGGACATTTTGATTATAGTTTATCATTCCAGGATACCGATCAACGTGTACAGATAAAATTTCTAACATTTAGTGAGACAGCTGTTCATTAGAATGAATATATTAACTAATGATCAGGATACCAGTTGATTAGTATACGATTGTCTTAATTCTTACAACTCAGTAGGTTTAAGCACAAAAGCTTTGAAGTATTAGACAGAAATACAACTTAAAAATATAAGGTATTTTTCTAACCTCCCAACTGGAAAAATGTGCCCACATTGTAATTAAATCTATATAAAAATATGCTACAGTTAAGATGAAAAATCATATGAAAACGAATGTTTATGCAGAACAATTTATTTCTGAAATACTCGAAGAATCTTTGCATAATCAGCTGTTTTTACTGTTGACAACACTATAAGCTCAAACGATGTCTTTCGGTATAAAGTTTTGCGCACGTTTTCCAAAAGTGATTTTTTTCTTGAAAGAGTATTTGTCCTAAATTCGATATCTCACTATGAGAATGCTTATTGAAGTGTCAATTTAGTACACGATTCAGCTTCATTGATGTAAATATGTAGATGGATATTATGGAATTGTAAAAAGATAATCATTTGCTTTATTATTGATCAATTTTTTCACCAAACCACTGCTAAATGTTTACATCAGTATACTTTTGAAGATCCAAGTTATATATCTGCGCTTTATCTCCATCACTTTTAAGAGTGTATCATAGCATTGATATGAAAAGAGTTATACATATCAATCACTTAAGACTTATTAAATACACCAAAATTACTTTAAAATACTTAGACTGTAAATCATTAACATAATAGGCAAGTAACGTGTCTTTGTCTTCAACTTGATGGCCGTATCGGAGGCAAATTTATTACATGTATTGAATTCATGTTACTTACATAGATATACACCTATTTTTAAAAGAATCAGCAAATACCTCACACAATATCATAACAGAGCGTTGACCTAATGTATTGAAATCAGTTGAATCAATTTCAGGAAGATCACACAAAAATAACGAAAAATATTAATGGTGTTTTAAATTAAAATAAACATTAATAAAGAGAAGATAGGGAATAAATAATCTTTCTCGAAGAAACGACCATATTTGTCTGGGCTTTATTAATTTTACACACTCATCAAACGTATCAACTATCCCCAGTTCAAAATAATAAATAGATTTGTTAATTAAATACAATACCTTCAACTTTCAGTCTCCTCACAAAATGGTATAAAAGGTGACGGTTTTACTGATGTCTAGTATTTTAACCATTAAATTTTATTCTACACTACATTTATGAAAATCCCTATATGAATACGAAACATTCCATACCAAAGTGACAGGAAACTATTTATTTATTTTTAACACAAAAATACCTCATTCTTCAACAATTATAATAATGAAATGAATGTTTCGTAAGAATAAGAGAGTGAAAATTTAGGTTGTGTTCCGAAATTTTATAGATTTTATTGTGAAGTATTAGTAAATAAAGTTATTCCATCAATGATGTAATGAATAACACTGTCTTAAATAATTCAATAAAATCCAAAATGATAACACTTTAGTTCTTAAAAAGAAAGGTTTTGTTGAAATTTGACCCGATAGTATCACAACAATAAGGGTCATAGTAATAACTTAATAATAATCAGGAAGAGGTTTTGTGGAGATTTTAGTAACTATATGGTTGAATTCATGAGTCAATCGAAGCTCACTAATGACTGTCTCCAAGAGGTATTTCCTGAAGTTTTGGTGAGAAGCAGTGACCAATGAAGTTCAACCGGGTCTGTTGTATGATGGTAACTCACTGAAGACAATGGTGGACGGTAGCTCAATTTAATGGATTGGTTGAAGTTAGACATTAACGCACTTGGATGCCAGCCGGTGGTCTAGAGGTTAGGCGCTCGCGCGCGAGACGGATAGATCCTGGGTTTGAATCTCGCGAGGCGAGGTCGTGGATGTTCACTGCTGAAAAGTCTCATAATGGGACGAAACGGCCGTCCAGTGCTTCCAGGTTTTCCATGATAGTCTAGCTTCTACTGACTCATGATTTCAACTATTAAAATTACTATAATATCCACAAAACCTCTTCTGATATTTAAAAATGCAATTTTCTCTTTTATATTTTACAAAATTTTATGTTTTATATTTTATGTTACTTTGGATGTACTCAAGAAACTCCCAATAAAGTAATGAGAAACAGAAAGGATGCGAAGACCCAATGTAATACTCATAAAATTGATAATGATTGTATCAATATAGGATGTATCTGTTTACCTCTATTTTTAGGAGACAGTTTAAAATGATGTTGCAAATAATACTCTCGATATTCAAAGTATTATTTGTTCATGATAAATACACTGTATTTTGAAGAGGGAAATGAAGCTTTTTTTAACGGAGTAATGCTTGTTGTTCTCATTATCATTCCTTTCGCGTAATTAGTTGTGCCTTTTAAAGTAAACGACCTATATGTAGATGACTACTGAAATCAGTAAGACTAGTGTACAGGTTTATAAATAATTTCCAACTAAATCAGTAATCAAGTTATTTTTCGTGTATTTGACTTTGTGACATACATTTTAAGTGAGGACTACTGACTAACGTTGTCCAAAACAAAAATCAACGAAGTAGAGTTGAAACCTATGGACCTACGAAACTGAACGTCAAGAACATTGTCTTTATAATTTCATAAGCCTTTTATTACAACTGTTAAATTATGTTCACTTTAAATCTTGTTCTTTCCTCTCCTTATAAATATTCTGACCTATTTCATCATTTCCACTCTGTATTTCTTTTGTTTTTCACACTGAATTACCATAAAATATGTATTGAAATCTTTTTTCATATGACTTTTCAACTGACTTAATATAATGTTTACATATGTATATAAAAAAGGTCGTTTTGTTTGAGTTTCCTTCATCAACCTTTGTTGTGATTTAACTGTATAAATTGTATTACTACCCTTTAAATGTAAACCCATTGTATAGTATCATCTGAAATTAAATATGTGGATATAGTACCACTTCAGAGTAAATGTAAGTATTATTCCAGAATAGAGTACAAACTGTACTTTGATGGAGTTTTGTTCTCTGAGCTGGATGGTTTGCTCGTGAAGCTTTCATTGTTCTTCTGAACGACATCATCAGCACAAACTTCAGATAGAAACTGTACTTAATAACTAACAATTTGAATTAAATATAGAAGCAATATGCAAAGAAACAGTCAATTCCTTATTTGCTATCAATCACTCATCATCAACGTATAACATTTTCGTACCTCATATAACCGTAATAAAAGAGAAAATTGATATGGTGAAAAACAAGAAAAAGGAAACAATTTTGACTGCTTTGAAAATATCAACATTTAAAATACAGTTTATGGAAAATAAATGAGCTGGAAGAAGCTAAATCAGAAATCTTATTTAACTCAAAATTTTGATGAAAAGAGAAAGTGGATGTAACTTGATCAGTATGATTGACCATGTACCACTCAACATAATGTTTCCAGCAATCAATTAAAATTATTGAGAAGTCATCCACCCAGAAGTCTACAATTAACTGAATGACTCAGAAAATAAGAAAATCATTCATGTACTAATGTATTCTTCACTTCTTCCTGTTAGCTACTATGCTACTCCCCTCATTTTAATTTAGTTTCTA